ATTGTGGTGAGGTGCTCAGTAGTAGAAGGCTGAATGTTCAGGAGGTAGACAGGATTACAGAAAGAAGCCTGTGACCTTCCACTTCCTGGCCTGGGAACTATTGACTTAGGGTGCTGGGTGCTGCTGCTATCAGAAGGGCAATGGCCACCTGGAACTCACCAGGTCTCCTATATCAACAAGCCAATCATGCAGTCCACCCCAGATCCTGCTCTCTTGCACGTATGCTCATGGGCTGCACATGTGCATGCAGGCAGAGTGGCTATTGCTGGGAATGTGTCCAAATGGTGAAACTCACTCTGCCTGTCAACCTGAAATAAAGAATGAGAAAAACTGGATCTCATGTTTTTTTTTTCTCTTGTAGGAAATGAACTCAGTCGTTCACCAAGAATCCTAATGTGGAAAGTTTCACAAACACAGGACAGAGTTAAGTGACAAGAAGGAAGACCAATGACAGTTCAAAAATATAATTTTGCTTTGTACGAATTGTTACAAACAACAGCATGAGCAAGGACAGAACTTGATTTATTTATTGTTTCATACACTGTAAATATAGTTTACATTTATATTATTTATTTCTACGATTAGTAGGATTCATTCTTACATGCACTTTCAAGCATATCTATTACATTTGAATGGGTGTTCTTATTCCCATTTTGCACATGGAAAAACAGAAGATTTGACATAGTAGACATTTTGTTTGAAATCAGCAAGCATATAATGACAGGCTAGTAATTTCTACCTGAGGTTCTAACTCTGTAATCATGTTCTTAACAATTACTGATTCTCCCGTATATCTCCTGTTACAGATACGGCACTCCTTCATTTTGCAGCATCTAGAATGCACGTTTTAGCATTCATTACAGGGAACGCTCAGTATGTGCTTCTCCAATGATCCTTTCAAGGGTTCATTTATTGCAGTACATGCTCATCGAGGATCCATTAGGGACATCCTGAAAGTCCTGGGAACGTCCCAGAAGACATGCGTCCCCACTTTGCACTGCTTCTATTCTAGCAAGTACTCACATTCTCCATTGATTTGGAGTAGCATCCAGACCTCAGAGCCACATTCTCAATGGCTAGGGATTTCCTCCTGTCATTGAAATCCCCTTGTAAGTCAGTTTGTGCTTTCCATACCACTGGGGTTCTCAGTCCACTTAGACAATTCCCACAAGTCTCAGAAGGGAACCCTGACTAGTCAGAACTCAGTACAAATGACCTTTGGAACATCAAACCTATGCGGAATAAGTCCTTATACTCACTTTCCTGTCTATCCTCTATATCTTCAACAGCTTTCAACATTTTGTCCTCTGATAGCTAGGATTTAGTTTCTTTTTCTGATTTCTGGGTGTAGTAACCAGACCCGAGCTTTATGACTGTTGACCCCATACCATGCCCTCGAGATTCAAAATTCCTACTTGCAGCTCTCATCCTAATCCTAACACCCTCAGTAGTCTGTACCCGAGCTTTATGACTGTTGACCCCATACCATGCCCTCGAGATTCAAAATTCCTACTTGCAGCCTCTCATCCTAATCCTAACACCCTCAGTAGTCTGTACCATCACATAGACCCTGAGAGACACTTGGGTCTTCAGTACAAACATCCTATTCAGAAATACATGGCTGGTTCGGACTCATCTTTGCAGCATCCACTGTTGATGAAGCTCTACTATGGCCACACTGAAGAACTCAACATCAGCTCGGCTTCTCCACTATCTTCTGTTCTGTCGCAGTTTCTGTTGTCTGGCGTGAAGCAGCCAGAGGCAAAGGACCCAGGAAGCAGCTTCACTTAATTCTTTGCCACCCCAGCTCTCTCCATGGTCTCACAACATTTCCCAGCCACAAGCACTGCCCTTCTCTGTGTCTAGTGGGCCACTAACTTACTGACAGCGTACTGTGTCTTCTGTACCTAGCACCTCTGATGAAATTCTGTGCCCTTACCTCACCAGGCTTGCCTTTTCACCCAAGAATGAGCGATTCAGCATTCAGAAAAATCCTTTTTGCTTTTAACTTAACTGAATTTTGAAGGCTACTATTTCGCCATTAACTGAGATATTGTTCTAGATACCATCTGCCGTCTCCTTGTGGGCCATAAATCTCATAGTCTAGTTTTAATAGAGGAAAGGCTGCAGGAGATGTGACTTATACAGGAGAATAATAATATTTTGACTACGTATTTCCAAAGCATAACCCTTATTATTCATTTTGACCTTTTACTTTAGTTGAGGCTATAACATTTTAATGCATCTCACCCATGGAATTTCCTATTAAACCAAGAGATTATATATAATCTTGTCAAGTAAAGAGACGGATCCTGGGGGAGAATGTTCAGAAAAAATCACCTTTTCCCAGTGTGTGTCCAAAGAGACTCCTGGCCATGGTTGTCTGGATAATGGCTCAATTTGTCCTCACTAGGCTCAGATAGGCAGAGCAGTAGGTCTGGGCCAGCTCGTATTTTCCTATAAATGCCACAGCATATTTCTGTAAACTGAATACATACTAAAGACATTCAAAGTGCCCCAAGAGTGCAACCAAAATGTCATGGGCTACTCATTTGAGTAGATCATATTTGCCTTCTAAGTATCAGTTCTTTCTTCCATAAACAGATTGTTTTGCAGGGTTTCAGTGACAACGAGCTTAGAGTCTATAAACGGGTAGGACATGTGCTACATTACGTGGCAGCTGAGAGGACCTGAAAATGCATGAATTCCATTATGCTCCTTCTTAGCACCTCTACTGGGAGCTTCTCACCATTCCTGGAGCCTGTGGGAGCCGAAGTACTAGATTTCACCTCCTCTCTGAGATAAGCAGTTTTAACATATTTAATGTCTAAATCAAGCCAAGAGGAAATGATGCGAAGACAGACAGTTGGGGCCACAGTTCCTGGCATCTCTGGGGTACAGTTGATAGCCATCAGACTCCCTTTCTGCTTCCCCCAAATAGGAAGTGCTGCAGACTGCAGGCTGGGGGCTGAGGCTGAGCAGGGCTCAGGGCTGGACTGGGTCCTCCTTGTTAGGAAGGAAGTGGTCACAGACATGCCAAGTTGTGTGTGCTTGTTCCCTTGACTTTAGTCATGATGGTTCCCAGGGATAGTGTGCTATCATCTCTTCTTTTTCTCTGAAATTTGTATTAAAACCCAAAGGGGAAGGCAGGAGATTTTTATATATCTTGTGGGGTTTTTGTTTGTTTGTTTGTTTTAGCCCATAACTGAATTTGAATAACTTTTTTCCTCCTAAAATAAACATCAGCTTCTCAAAAGCCCGATTTGGGTTTTTATGTACCTGAGTATATATGAAACATTATTTTTAAGCATCCCTTAATGAATCTGAGGAATAGGGGAACAAATTTACATTCCCAGGCTGAATAACGGAAGAATATTTGTGGCTATAACATCCTGTGTGCTCATGCAAAGTCACATGTGGATACCCTGTGGTGAAAATGTGTTTCCTTTCTGCTGTGAAATGTCTTCATGTACTTCACTTGTATTCAGTTTCTATTACAAGCCAAAAAAAAACCAACATTATCGACAAAATAAAAATTATCAAGAAATGAAACATTATTTTTAAGCATCCCTTAATGAATCTGAGGAATAGGGGAACAACTTTACATTCCCAGACTGAATGACGGAAGAATATTTGTGGCTATAACATCCTGTGTGCTTAGGCTCTGTGTCCAAAGAGAAGCATGCTGTGTCAAGGAGCCTGGAGGTGCCAGGCAAGGCTACAGCAGACAGAGTGAAAGTGTCTGCAGAGAAAATAGGTGCATCTTGCTCACTCACATCGTCCAGTGCTGAGATTGCTAACTGGTTAGCAACACAGGGGAACTTTATCTATTTCTGTATGCTAAAATGGTTATCCCATTGACCAAGACAATGTTACATAAGTTGTTAACTTGTCGGTGCTTAGAAAGTTTGAGAATGATTCCTTTATATTGTTTCATCAACATTATTTTACTGATTTCAAAGAGGATTTAGTTCAAATTGCAAGTCTGTTATCCCCTAAGACCTAAAGCCACCTGTCAGCTTCTCCAGGTCAGAGTCATCACTGGTTTTCCATGGCTCCTCCTACAAGGTTCTGTTCTACATACATGTGGGCTCCAGACCTTAGGGGACCCTTTAGATGTAGGTGTGGGAGAGCTAATTGCTTATCCTCTGGAGGAGGATATAGTTGCAAAAAGGCTTCTCAATGGTGCTTTTTAGAGAAAGTATGCAGAAATATTGTTCCCAGGGATTCTCTAGACCCTTCTTACAGCATGAGTCAAAAGCTGAAATTAGCAGTGATTCCATCTTTCAGTAGGTCTTTTGGAAATTTAGATAATCTAGAGTTTCTGTGTACTGTTAATAGTTTGGTTATATGGTTATTGATCATAAGGTGTGAGGAAAGAGTTGTCCCATGAAACTGTGGCATGTGTAGCTGCATCTGTGGGCTTTACCCAGTGGATATCAATACTGTTCCTACCCTGTTGAGACAACCCACAATGTCTTCAAGCATTGCCAATATCTCCTGGATGAGATTGCCTATAGCAAAACCACTGGTTTAGCCATATTTTTAGGAAGCAGATACAAGCAACTATTATTACCTTGAATCTAGATCTTAGCTGAGATGGGAACAAAAGGATTACTAATCAATGTCCAGCATGTAAAATTCCCAATCACTCACTTACCATAGTAGCTTTTAATCCTCTTTCTACAATCTCTCTTCTTGAGAACTTTTTACATAATAACTGTTGCATAATTAGCAGATAGCTCTCTGCTGCCTTATGGGTAGCTATTCCCTGTTTTCTCCATACACATATGCTACTTTTTACTGCATGAGACCATGTTTTAGTGATGCTTAAATCTTTCTACGGGATTAAATGGAATTCCTTCTCTCTGCAGATGCCTCATTATTCATCATGATTAGAAGATGCTTCTTTATTATTTTTTAGATCATATTGGAAAAAAGGAAGGACGTTAAAAATAGACCCATAGTTCCGTACTTTGGTGGAGTTTATTTTTATTTTTGGTGAGAGTGTAACCACGATCTCCCACTATCACAAATTACATATTCAAGTTTCTCACATTTAGGGAAATTGGATCAGTGCATGCCAAGTTCAATGGATGAGCCTCTCCCTGGAAAAGGCATCTCTTTGATCATGGTATCTTCCCTGCCAGGTAAGTATGACAGAGTCTTTAACATTTCCAAAACCACTTTACTATGCATTGGCTCACTGTGTCTGAGCAATGATACTTTGTGGCAGAAAAGGAGTCCCAGAGAGAATTAGCTAGTAAACAGAGGAGCTGGAATCCAGTCCTGTTTCTTTAACATCAGGTGGGTATTACATGAAGATTCTCTGTCCTCCTCATTCCAATTCTGCCTGTTAGCTTGACTTGGTCGTGCCTTAACTGTGAAAATGAAATAAAAATGTTCTTTAACATCAGGTGGGTATTACATGAAGATTCTCTGTCCTCCTCATTCCATTTCTGCCTGTTAGCTTGACTTGGTCGTGCCTGGCCCTTAACTGTGAAAATGAAATAAAAATGCCAAACTCTCAGCCTCTGTTAAGGTGGGGGAGCAACAGGCATCCAGCATGACACATAACTCTGTGGGCTGCACACCCTTCACCTCCTTCCTCTCTCCTCTGTCTCCTTGTTGATGTAGCTGCAGCTTAGAGCTCCTGTGGGGAGGTCTGGGGTGGATTTGAGTTTACTCTTGTATCACCGGAGTTCCTTGGCTCACATGTAATCAATGGGGCCCCCAGTGAGAGGAGGCAGGGTGGAGTACTCACTCTCGCCTCTGGATAGATGCTTGGTGTGATGTTGCCTCACGGTCAAGGGACTGAGGTTAGGTAAGTTGATCTTGTTCTGCTAGAGACACCTCCACACTGGACCTGTCAGCAAAGATGATGGGGAAGGAACTATTTTACTGTTTTTTTCCTGTAACCAATGGGGTGATAAGAATGAACATAAAAATGCCTTATAAAAATAATAAAGATCTGACTGGGCATGGTGGTACACACCTTTAATCACAGCATTTGGGAGTCAGGGGCAGGCAGATATTTCTGAGATCTACATAGTGAGTTCCAGGCCAGCTGAGGTTACAGGAAGACCCTTTCTCAAAAGAACCAAAATAAATGCTGTTGAGATGGCTCAGAAGTTAAGTGCAGATACTGCTCTTCCAAAAGATCTGAATTCAATTCCTAGCAACTACATAAGATGACTTATAGATCATGGGGTATCTAGTGCCTCTGGCTTCTGAAGGTGCCTGCATTTACATGCATAGACACACACACGCACACACACACACACAGACACACACATACACACAGACACGCACACACACACACATGCATACACACACACATCCCACACACACACACCATAGCCTAGGTGTGTAGCAGGCTATGCTATTTACTTTCATGCGTTCTGTGATATGTGCACAACAATATGAACACCTGGTGAGGCGAGTCTCAGAACATACCACTGTTGGCAAGTGACGCCCAACTTAGGTACATTTAGAAGACATTAGGAACAGCAATACCACAGAAAGGCTGTGGGAGTAAAGCTTTGCACTGATACCAGCCAATAAAGGTTCACTACTGCAAGAGAGTTCTCTGAACACATATGTAACACAGGCTAGAATTAGCTATGCAGACAGTGTCAGGAAGCAAAAAGCCTGAAAGAAGATGTTTGATGATGTTTTCCTGATGTGCTCTGGAGGGACCCAGATGTTCCTTCTATTTTATACTGCAGATTCCAGTTTCTGCAAATGACCCTTCACTTCTCAGGGCCACCCCTGGTGCTAGTCCCTCTGCAGCCAGCCCAGGGCTAATTGCTGTTGGTTGGAATGTAGAGACCCTACAGGCAGCTCTGTAGCCCTCATGACTGTGTGGTCTCCAGAGGACAGCCATGACAAAGAGCCCAATGGCAGAATTTTAACTGATCTGATATGACAGAGCAGATTAAAGAAAACATTATGTAACAGAATTCTAGAGAGCTAGTGTGTCTTTTGCATGTTAAACCCTGGCCAAAGTAAGAGTCCAAATTGTGGAAGGGCTGCCACCACACATATTGTTACCTGTGAAATTAGTGTCTAGACAGGAAGTGGCAGTCCCTTGGTGTTCTGATGTAGCACGGGCACGTCAGAAGTCTGGCATCTATACATGAAGCATCTCGTACAAAGGAACAGTGGCGAATTTGTTTCTTCCCAGGAGAGGAGCCTGGAAATTTTATCAAGATGAGCAATAGAAGGAAATGAGGGTCCTAGAGAAGGGAAACC